GAGAGAGCTCTGCTGATAGATGAAGTGTGCTGCCAGAAGGACGGGCCCCACAGCGCCCTGTACACCATGATGAAGGACCAGTACGCCAACTATGTCGTCCAAAGAATGATTGACATGGCAGAACCTGCTCAGCGCAAAATCATCATGCACAAGGTTGCTAAACTACAAATCTGTTTCTCCATAAATACAGTGTACCAATGATTTTAAATAAGTACTTTACCTGTTATGCAATAGAACAATAACTACAACTTACTCATTTCCCCTAACTGCAAAACAATGCGAGGGTCTGAGCAACTTGTGAAAACAAGGTTTATGGCCTTATACATTCCCTCCAAAAAGGGAGTATAGAACATCAAATATATTTTATTTGATATCTTCCTGTATTTAATCCATATTGTATGTGTTTTGACTCTTTCAAATGTAGTTATTGACTTTTTTTACATTAAACCACACTGACTATGAGCTAGGGTTATTTATTTTTTGATTGTAAGAAATGCCTGTAAATTATGGTGTTCTGACCAAAAAGATCTAAAATATTATATTCAAATATTAATTTGTTTTCCTTATTATCATAAAGTTATAACACATAAGAAACTGCAAATACAAAATCTGGCTTTTATGGCCTCAGAACTGAGCTAGATTGATTTAACTCAATAATGAATGGACTAATGGTTTCTGCTCTGCTGACCTCTGCGCCTTCTCTCCCTTCTCAGATCCGGCCTCACATTGCCACTTTACGTAAGTACACCTACGGAAAGCACATTTTGGCCAAGCTGGAGAAATACTACATGAAGAGCGGCTCTGAGCTGGGTCCCATCGGTGGCCCCACTAACGGCCTCATGTAGTCGCGTCGACACCCTGGGCCCCCCCGGAGAGAAGCGGAGGACTACGAGCCCCAAACCCCCTGTTCTGTGAGAAATGCTCCTTAGCCATAGGGGTTAGCCTTTGACACCCTCTGTTATCCCATTTTTGGGGGAATTACCAAAAAAATTAAAACACAGACAAGTCAACTTCACCTAAGAACGCTGTGACAACTGACCCCTGCCGCTCTGCCCCCTGGTGCCGGCCCGTCCCTCGGCCCCCGGGGGCGCTCAGTCGGCAGGCTGATTCTTTTTTCTTTTTTTCCGTTCCTGGGTAAAGCACAAGCCCATTGTTAATGATGTAATTGATGTATTTGACTGGTTTTCATATTATCTTGTACATTTAGTTTTTTACCTTGTAAATTCTCTGTAGAAAAAAAACGTATACACATTTGCTGAAATTTCCAATTCCTACAATTAACACCAGCAAGTGATTTTATAAGGCTAAACTGAGTGATCCTTTTAAAAGAAGCAATTCCACTTGTTTTTGTAACCAGACTTATTATGTCAGCTGTTCTAATGAGATCTAGGCAATTGATGATTATATTTGTATATTCTCCCGTGCACAGTAAAAGTGTTTTCCCATGCCAAAGCAGCTGATGGGTTCGTTTTCAGATGGCACTACATAGTGTGGAAGGATACAACCCACAGGTGAATACGATGAGTCCTGTGCCACAGTGAACCCGACGTCTCTTAAGACCGCAGTGCGAGCTCCGCTTTAGGGATTGGTGCTTCAGTGTAGGGCGGTGTTTCCCAGTGGTGGCTTTTTCCTGCCTCCTTTCCCCATCGGGGGCGGGCGTTTTGTTTACCCCAGCAGCTTGTAGTCTGCCTGATGTAACTATCTGAACAGTTTCGGTACTAAATATTACAGACTGACCAACCTGAGCTGCTGCATCCACTGAGCCTCATCCAAGTGATCACTCGGGGTTTATGCAAAACACGAAAGCTACCATTTAACTTATAGAAGCAGAGCATGAGGTTTGGTTGTACAGCGGGGCGTGTAACCTGGTATAATCTTAACAGGAAATGACCGTAGTGAGGGAGGTGGGAGGGGGGGCTTTTTGTGGGTTTAGTGGGGTGGGGTATGTGTTGGCATGCTGTGACAGGTTTTAATCCTTGGAATGGTTTTTTTCTTTATCATGTTTTGTGTAACATCTTATCTGTCTTGTACTTTGAGATGAACACTGCCCTAGAAACGGTATCTTTATGTACTGAATAATCATCTCTTGCGTAGAAGTAGTTTAGCGATGTATAGCATCTTTATGTACGAGTAAATTGTTGCTTTTGGGTAGGGGGCTTGAAGCGACGATGGGATCCCCACCGCCTAAAGTCAGAGTAGAGTAAAAAAATGTTGTGAAGTGAAGCTTATCCCAGCTTTGTACATCTGAGGAGAAATGAACTAGAAGTAGTGGGAGGAGTTGAAGAAAGGGATGCCGAAGGAACCTTTTTTTAATGGTTCTGTTTTTGTTTTTTAAAACCTTTTTTCATTTGGTTGGGTATGCAAGTGCGTTGGTGGAGGCTGGTGGGGCCATCGAAAGCTATGCGATTTACCTGTAATGCTCGTAGTGACGGCTTCTTTGCTTCAAATGAATACATGTAGTATATGTGCAGTTAATAAGTGTAATGTTATTAGTTAATTGAAAAAAAAAACGACTAGTCGTGGTGTTTGACAGGCCTTGCTCTAAATTTGTAGTTATGCTTTTATTTCGTCTGTACAGTTGTACATTTGTAAACGTTTATGCTGTAAATGGGATGTCTTTTACACTTTTTTGGGGAGATGAAGGCAAAGATGTGCATTTTGATGTGTGTATATTCATCACTCCTTTCCCCTTGAATATAATGTATACAGTTTTATTTGATCAAGTGTTATTTTAAAGGAAAAAAGAACTTTATGGCTTCACAATCTGGCATGGTTTTTGTTTTTAATCTGTTATGGGGAAAGGCCAGCCTCTATTTGTACTGGAGCTGAAACATCCACTGTTAGTCTTTCTAAAGTGTGACAGTTTAAAAAGAAGAAGAAAAAAACACTCTGTACTAAATCTGAGGCTGCATTTAGTCCTCTCTGCTACCATGGAAACTTCACAGGATATGACAAGAATTATTTTTGTACAGAAGAGTGCTGTATTTTGGAACAGCTTCTACCTTGTAAGCAAAAGCAATGTAAAATATTGTCAATTATATAAATATGAACATATGAGTTTTGTCACACTGTCAAAGTCATGTACATTTTCAGGTGGCCTTATGTACATTTCCAGATGTTAGATGAAGAAAACAAACTCATTTTTGGAAGCAGAATTGTGACTATGTAATGATTAAACTGTTCTTCTAACATTTGATCTGCATTGTTGTGTTTTTTGTTCTCATGTTTCTTTAAGCCTTTTTTTATCTTGTTTACAAATGTTTGGAGTTACTCCTGATAATAATCTGTGTCCAGATGGAGAAAGGGTCAATACATCTTCAACTGGTTTTAATATGTACTCCACTAAATGGTAGGCCAATCACAATATAACTAACACTGCCTAACTTGATGCAAATTCCTATTCCAGGGTGTCCGCGGGGTATTAAAAGTTGATAAATCAATTTAGCGAAAATTAAGTCTATTAAAAAGTATTAAACGGCATTTTCCAAGGTATTAAGAAGGTCCACAGCAACGACAACATGAAACACCCTTTAATTTACTGCAACAACATGTCGGGAAACCCCCTCAAGGCGGACCCATGCATAGCGCGCCGTAAAATGCTGCTTCTTGTTTTATGTTTCGTTGGGGCGCCACTGATGGTGACGAAAGCTGGTTCGAGGGGCTCACAGACTCTAGAATCGCCACTGTCGATGGGGATCAAAGCTGTCCGGTCCCACATGCTAAGTAATAGCCAGAAAGCCGCGGCGTTTAAATCCCGACTCTCCCGATAGCCAATCCGTGCCTCCCCTGACTGCACGTCGCTGACACACACCGCTGCAGACTGCAGGGAGCAGCAGCGGAGTCCGGCGGATGCTGCTCCTCCAAGGAAGAGACACACGTTCACTAAGCCGAACTATATCCGGTTACTGTGATCTGCTATTTTAAAGTAAAGTCAACACATATCGACCCTAAATATAGTCTCTATTAAGAACGAGAAAAGTGTTAACATATATCGTTTTTTGTTTTATCTCTTGGGAACAATGCCTACATCAAATACTACTTTATAATGATTTCTTTTTCTAATAAACCTTGCATTGGGTTAGTCACACAATTCATTCTCTTGCGCTTTGTTCTATCTGAATTATAAGGAGTTATCACAAGCTGTTGTGCTATCTTACAATCCATACTGTATAGTCAATGTGAGGTAAAGTGTGTCGCCAATGTAACCGGTTAGAACTCAAAGTGGCGATGAGGTCTTAAAAATGTATGTAATGGTCTTAAAAAAGGTCTTAAAATGTATTACATTTGACTTCAGGATTCCTGCATATACCCTGTATTCCTATTAATGACACGTAAACAAATGGTCCGCACTAATGGTTGAAAAAAAACTAGCCTAAGCAATTGTTAGGAATATTGACCAGTGGTAATGCATACTGTTTACATCATTTCGCTACTCTACATTTTAATTGGTTGTAGAAGTTGTATAATTAATAACATTTAAATGAGCTGATTGTAGTCAAGGGATTTCAATTGATTGTAGTACAAATACAGCTGCATCCAAATCTTGTGTAATACAACTTTGCATTATTGAAATTCAGACGATATTCAGACAAAATGTACCATTTAAAAAATACTTTGCATTGTTTTACATGAAACTTCCCAAGGTATATAAGCCCACCTTGACCTGCTACAATACTGCTAGTGCATCAATAATAGGCTAATTGATCAAATATAACTTTTGATAGTAGCAATTACTAAAACTACTTTTATCCTTGCACTAAAATTGATCGCAGAGATTTTGCTTCATAGGTATTTTATTCTGTAAAACATAAATGATTAAGGAAGACAAATATATTTGTATGTACGTAATTATAATTTCTTGCAACTAAGGATATTTTCTGAAGTTACATGGGCCCATTCAATAATTTTAACTGATTCAAATATAGTTTTTTGAATTAAAAACATGAGTGGATGTTTATCAGGGTAGCATCTAAAGGCAGTTGAACGTGTTTATTGGTGGGCGTGGTTTGGGCGGCCAGGTAGAGGCTGGAGGAAGAGTACAAAATAAACTGAACACCAACTCAACCAAACATGAGGATTTATTTGAAAGCTTCCTGTTTTTTGATTTTGGGATTAATACATCCTGTCAATATGTCGGTAAGTCACTTTTAATCTTTAAAACACATTTTGACATTGTAGACGTTACGTCAATCTCTTGCTCACCCTTCTCACTTCCTGAAGTTACCCGGTGCTTATTACTTCACCAAGGTGTGTTTGTTGTTTTACGACCTTGTTGTTTGTTAAACCTTGAGATTAATTGAGAATCTTTTTAAATGTTAGTTACAGTGACCAACATATACATTTAATCGAATTTGTTGATTTTCAGTGGTGTATGGTATTGAAGTACATTTACTCAAGTACGATTTTGGGCTACTTGTACTTTACTTAAGTATTTAAATGTCATGCTACTTTATACTTCTACTCTATTTTGTAAGCCAATATTGTACTTTTCACTCCACTGCATTTATTTAACAAAACTAGTTATAAACATATCATTTTAGGTACAGATATCCAGCAGCAATATATAAAGTAATTCAATTAGCTCCACCTTTACCAGATGTGATGAACACATTAAGGATCAATAATCATAATGTACTCATTTTCTATCTATATATGAAAATGAAAACCAGGTGCGTTTCAACAGAGGACATCACACTTCCCATTTTGTGGTTTCAACACGTCATGTGGCTTTCAGTAGGAATTATATAAACAAGAAGAACCGCATTTATTTTTATTTTACAGATATTTCATACGTCCACAGATGAATGTCTTTATAGTAGGCTACATGCATTTTGTGACAAAAAGGAGTGTACCTTGGACTAACCCCAAACTAAAAGTCTCTTCTATAACATAACAAGTCTTCAGAGACTAAAGTGGTTGAAGTTTATACAAATCGGATACAAATGTTTTACTTCCTAAATAATGTTTTAAGGCAGCATCACAATTAAAAAAAAATGTTATCTCTTACAAGTCAACATAAATTGACACTTTTCCATATCCATGTTGTCATTAATTAAGATGAATTCAAAACAAAATTATTAAAATATTATATTTAATAGCACTTTTATATCTCTGTCATCTCATTGCTTTTACATGTTTTTCGTTATTTTCTTTGAAGAAGTCCAAAGTAAGTGAAAGGATGTGTGTCTTTATTGGTGTGGTTGACCCACATTGTTTGTTTTTTTGTCTCAGTTTCGCTGCTCTGATGTCTGTTGGCCTTTAATTCTTGGTACGGAAATTCTTTCACACTTGGTGATAGACATCATATGCAGCAAACACTTTGATGTGGTTTCCAAGTCAAAGTGCAGTAAGACCGTCTTATGTACAATGCGGCTAGTCCATCTCAGGGCTAACACACAGACAGAAAGCATTCGCATCTTGGGTTAAGTTCATCTTTCACTCATGTCTGTAGAAAACCCTTGCAAACATCAGGAGAAACAAACCATGGATAAGGTTAAATTAGGTTCACTGCATCCCTTTTAAGCAATAGTGCCGCTTGACAATTGCTTCCAGCTGTAAACATTATAAGTGTCCACGATTACAGCTGGAAGCACGGACAGTATGACACATCAAAAAGTCCACTGATCCAGGGAGGTAACCAAGCCACATTTTATTTCTGGGTGGGGATATTTACAGTATGACTGTTCAGATTGTTCTTTACTCAATCCAATCAAGAGTAATACTTTTCTACCCCTGTTTCCAGGCTGTAAAACATTATAGTTTTTATTTCATTAAGAACAGCAGCTTTATGTGATAAAGACCATTACGTTTATATCAATGAGTCTAGCTTGTCATTTATTTAAAGAGAAATCTTTTTAGGAGCTTTTTATTGTTGTGCTGAGCTGCTACATAGACTGTGTTGAGTCCAAACAACAGATCATCTGTTCTTTTACCTTTACAGCTTTGCTAAAGGGGTGGAGTTATTTTACCATGTAATTCAAGCTATAATATGTACTCATTACACTTTATTGGTGATAACTGCATCATTATGGGTTTGTCAGCCACAGTGTGTTTTGACATTGCGTCAGTGGGACTTTGTATCCGAGATATGATTCATTCTTTATTGTCCTCTTAAGGAAAGTACCTTCATAGGCTTAGTCAGCCCAATGTCTGTTTTCAACAGGAAACAGTATTGTGTTGAACTGCGTCTGTAAATATCTTCATCCCTTTTTCTCCATGAAATCAGTTTCCTGGCCCTCCAGAAGACTTGGAGGGATCAGGATATGACTTGGAAGATTCTGGCTCTGGTTCAGGAGATTGGACAGAACAAGGTAATGCTGAAAACCACAAACAAAGGCTATAGAAATGTTATACTCCACTTAATACAGTATCTTTTCATTATTTTTCAAAAACCAAACACAATACATGTCTACTCTCTGTCTCACCAGGTGAAATTAAAAACACCAACAGCAAAGATATCCACATTTTAGCAGCAGGAGGTGGAACCCAGACTAACTTTGATGTACGGTAGAGTCTCACTTCTTCTTAACCTCATTAGGAAGATGGCAGAGCAGAAAATAAGGTTTTAATCCTGCTCTTTTTTATTATAGGGTACTTCAGACCTGAACGACAACATGGGATCAGAATATGTTCTTGTGGCAAGCAGCAAGATCTTTTTGGACAACAAAGAAATCTTTGCTGGTACTTTGCCTTACGGTACATTAAGCATATTTGACAGAGTTTTACACTGTGTGATTGTTTCTAACTCAGTCATTTGTGTTCAGCTGTTATTGCAGGAGGATTGATAGGAGTGGTACTTGCAGCTGCAATGGCTGCAATATTAATCTATACATGGCAGCAGAAAGATAATGAAGGATACGTCCTGGCCCAGCAGACGACTTCACATGGAGATTATCACAGACCCAACAGGGAAGAAGTGATTGTTTAACTTAACATTTTAACACCAATGTTTATGTTTTAAAGGGAGGTTGCCAGGCAAATGTATGTACCTTGGGAGCGACTGTAAACGTTTTGTCTTCTCTTAATATTGGGGGTGAATCGCTGACTATCCCACCTAATACAAATGTATCTGCAGTTGTTCATTGATAATGTATTTATATTTATGAAGAATTGTTTTTGTTTACTATCTTAAAAAGGATTTGAGATTGCTTCATTCTACACAGGGCCAAAGGTATCATTGAAGTTTTGCTACTAATTTTAACTTGCTTTATTTCTTTATAAATGATGGGTTGTCAGCAGGTGTATGATCTTATTTGGCATTGTTTGTGCGTAAAGAAGATCATAGATGTAGTATGTGATTAATTATCAACCATGTAAAATATACTTTGCTATGTAATTGTTTTAAAGTGGCAGCTATCTTTGCTTCCATGCACACTTTTTTGTAGCTTTTACATTTAAAAAATACACTTTATGGGACTGGCTTTATGAAACTTAGCCATTGTTATTGTTGTAAGTAACACCACTGCTTTTAATACTGTAACACTTCAGAATGTATGCTGTGAGCCTCTCCCCTCTGTTACACCCAGGTGTAACAGGGCCTTTTAAGCTGCATGCAGGACTAATGACCTCATTATTATAAATCCCTGACTAGAGTCCTGGTTTAACCAGAAATACTTGATTAACTGTGTTAAATAGGGAAACCTCAGCATTATCCCCCATTACAGTGCGTTAAATAATCCATGTGACATGAACAATCTATGGGTGAACTCATTGTAGGGTGCATAATAAATGTAAAATAATACAATTTGGTAATAATGATGAGCTGCTATGTAACTATCTCGTAATGTCATCTAGACAAGGGGTTCCCAACCCCCGGTCCGCGGACCAGTACCGGGCCGCGGAGGTGTTACTGCCGGGCCGCGAAATAGCTGTGAGTTTATTGTAATATTTGCAGAATTATAAATATATAAAAATATTTTATCATATATTTTTCAAAAAGTGTTTAATGTTCGTACCTATACCAGTCCTATTATTTCATCCAGTAGCCTAGTTAATCTTTCACCAGATAACCGTTGAAAATGGCTTTTATGATGTGCCGAGGTATTCGGCGGCTCAGCCTGGTCTCAGCCTGGTCTCAGCCTGGTCTCAGCCTGGTCTCAGCCTGGTCTCAGCCTGGTCTCAGCCTGGTCTCAGCCTGGTCTCAGCCTGGTCTCAGCCTGGTCTCAGCCTGGTCTCAGCCTGGTCTCAGCCTGGTCTCAGCCTGGTCTCAGCCTGGTCTCAGCCTGGTCTCAGCCTGGTCTCAGCCTGGTCTCAGCCTGGTCTCAGCCTGGTCTCAGCCTGGTCTCAGCCTCTTGTGTGCACGAGAAAGTTACCGGTGCGCCAAGTAGGAAGAGGAGCGCACAGGAGTCAACCGTTTAATTGCAGACTGTTATGTTTATGTGGGGAAATGGCAGTGCATACATTATTTGAGATATATTTCAAACTCGGACTTCATTTTAAGGACATGTCGGCCAGGAGTGTATAGAGCTAGGCCTATATGTTTATTTTATAGCTTTTCTTTTTAATGACTGATTTTAAATGCCATTTTCTTAATGTCTTTCATTTTTTTGTAAAGCACTTTGAATTGCCTTGTGTTGAAAAGTGCTATATAAATAAACTTGCCTTGCCTTTGTTTAAGCACCGGATTGGCAAAACAGGAGAGTAAACCAGTCTGCCTTGATCTATGCATTCATGTCCGAGACTCTCACGGTATCTGCTGCCCACAGCTGTTTTATAGAAGGAAAACCTCCTTCACTTCATGAAATGGCTGCAGGCAGCATCAGGAAGCAGCGGGACCTATACTCCGCCTCTGAGAAGTGCAGCACCAGCGCACCGAGAGCTGTGCCTTTTTACGCACCGCCTTCGCTGTGTTTACCTTAAGCAGAACAGTTTAAGAGTGACTGCAGGCTGCTACGTGTTAACGACACACACCTCTACACCAGGCTTGGAATGTTGTCATTTTAGGGGCAAGGCCATTTGGCCTTCCCGTTCACATTTTTTTTAAGGGCACAAAGGCCACATGACAGGGCACAAAGGCCGTTTGGTTAAATTACGCTGGTCAATCAACATGACTGAAAAGTCAACACCAGTCGTTTTACAAATGGCTGATTAGCAATAGTGTTTCTTAAACGTATAAGTTCAGCCATAAACCACATAAGTCAGTCATGTATTATATCAAAACCGCTTAGCAAGAAAAATACTAGATTCAAAGGTGACAGCTATCTGCTAGCTTGTATGTAGAAGCAACACTAGATGTAGACCCCTTGAAAGGAAGACGTTAGCTCTATCCAAACTAGCTAGCTATCGCTAGTTTTCATGACAAAATGTAACGAGTCGACTTTAAATAGGCTAATACAATGGTAATTACCTATCAATAGTACTTTCTATAAACACTTGCTTACCTGTGCTTGTCTTGCTCCCGCGGCTGAGGTGGAGGCTGTCGGGCCCCTACAGGCATGTCTGACGGAACAATCACAGCAGAGCAATCGCTCTGATCCACAGACACGGGACTATCCTACTGCGCGCACTAGTATGACTTCACTAGCGTTGTTTACACTGGAACTTTTGACAGGGGCACAAAGGCCACTTTGGCCGTGAATTGCATTTTTTTCCACAGGGCATCACGGCCAAAGTGCGGGGCAACGACGGCCATGGCCGTCGTGGCCGTCGTGAAATTCCCACCCTGCGTCTACACACATCGAACTGCCCGATTACTCCCCCTTTTATTAGTTTTATGAAGGAGATGTCCAGTCACCAAGGCGCATGATGTGTGTGTGTGTGTGTGTGTGTGTGTGTGTGTGTGTGTGTGTGTGTGTGTGTGTGTGTGTGTGTGTGTGTGTGTGTGTGTGTGTGTGTGTGCGCTCTGCTCAGCTCTGTTTGTGTCTGTCCGACACCGGCATTTGTTTTCAAATGTTCAGTAATTTACACACATCTGGCTAACTCCATAGGTAGCCTATATGCGGGTGTTCCCAAAAATAAATTAGGCTAGTTTAATCTTAATCTCGATGTAGTGCTAAATGCTGTCGGACGTGCAGCGGAACGAACGTCACTATCATAATATCTTCTGAAAAGAAATGCCAGTGACACACACACACACACACACACACACACACACACACACACACACACACACACACACACACACACACACATACACACATACGCGCACACACACACACGCGCGCACACACACACACGCGCGCGCACACACACACACACACACACACACACACACACACACACACACACACACACACACACACACACACACACACACACACCTCCTTCATAATGCGCCTTCTCCTCGTTTTCACATCACTGGATTATCCGTATATCATACAAGCAAAACCAAAACGTTTTCCCGTTTTGGTTTAAAAACTGAATAGCGTCGGTTTTTTGGTTTTCCGTTTTTCCGAAAAACCAAAAAACGACACCGGTTCTTTTTTAAACGTTGTTACTATGTTTTGGTTTGCATATTGTTGTAGTATTTGTTCAGGCTTTTACATACAATTAGCCTCTGTTGCTACCTGCTGGTGGTGAGTAAATATTAAAATCAGTTAAAATTGACGGTCCGCGATTTTTTTTTAAATGTAGGCTATCTGCCGGTCCTTGGCAATAAAGGTTGGGAACCCCTGATCTAGACCCTAGATATTTACTATTTTTGTATTTGATAATTGTTGATACAAAATATCAATCCTGAATGTCTTTATGTTTGTTTTACTAGCATATAACTAGAGTGTATGTATAATGTTTATTTAGTATATGTATGTACTAATCAGGAAAATGTGATTGATTTTCAAATGGTAAAAGATGAAGTTGCAAAATAATGTACACCCTCCTAAAGGTAACACCATAACACTTAAAAGGGCAACTGATTACTAGATGAGGGTTGAACTGCCACTTGAACTGTTGTTAATTAAAGGAATAATTGAATAACTCTCACACTTAATACTGACAATAATGACACCACATAGAGAATATTGTCTTTTGCAATACAGATGTGAATTGTAAAAGAAAACGACAAGGATAAAAGATCATTTTCAACAACCTAAACAAGCCTATTAATAATAATGATACACTTTATGTATATAGAACCTTTCAAAACATAGTCACAAAGTGCTTTCACATAAAGATACACAAAGAGCAAGTGAACTAAATAACAGCATCTTAACATAAAAACAGGTTGAAAATAATAACACTAAAATGCATAGATAAAGACAAAATAAATATAAATAAAGTCACATAAAAGCAATTCTAAAAGAGTGAGTTGTTAAAAGTGATTTAACACTAGAACCGCCAGAGGTCGCTGTATACCTAAAACCGCCAACGGGTCAAATGTACCCGCTATTGATTTTCAAGGTACAATGTTCTTTTATTTATCATACAGAACAGTGAGTTTTGATCGCACAGGGATGAAACTTATACCAATAGAATCTGTGGACTCTCAGCTTTTCATATGATATCGTTTCTGCAGATAGCATGAAGTATAAAATATCGCTACAAGTGCTGATTTAAACGCTTGGTGTTCGACTTGTGTTTTGTTTAGGTACAAATCTCTCTATCTCTCTATCCATCTATATATAACTATCTATCGATCTCTCTGTAATGTTCTGTTCTATGGACATATAATTGTCTACATAAACAGACGACGCGGACTACTTCTCTCATTCAGAGTGTCCATCTTTATTCAACTGGCACGTAACCTGCACACATGCATTACGTCCTCAACGTGAGCTCAGTCATCCAAGATCTTGTATTCTCCAAGATGTTACATTATCTATATCTCTCTATCTATCTATCTATCTATCTAGCTCTCTCTCTATCAATATATCTATCTATCTATAAGGAACCGCAGTAGACAAAAGGCGTTGCTATAGCAACACGTCATGCTTACGCTGCATTTTCTATGAGGTAAATATTACCCGCTGGCGGATATTGGTATAAATGGCTTTTTTTTGGCGAATTTTTCATTCTGACTTCCTATTGACAATTTTTAACAACAGAGGGTGCGACATAACACACTTTCAGGAAAAGTCACGGACTGGGAGACTTTAATATGTTATGGAAAAAAAGTTACATACAATCAAAAAACAGCTGCGGGTAAAATGTACCCGTTGGCGTTTCGAGTGTTAAAAGAGCAGACATATTTTGCAGCCCTGTTCTGTAACAGGGCTGCTTCACGCTCATTGGTTAAGATTCCTGTCAGTCAAAGTTACCCTCTATTTCCCGTGTGTTGTTATCGCGGTGTCTCCCATCTCGTCAATTTGCTGGGTGGGCGTTCCTCCTCCGAGTTCGTCTACTGACTGTTGTGAACAGTGAATGCTGTGAAGAATTGTATCCTCCACGACCAGCTCCCGATGTTTCTTCCTACGCTTGTGGAGGACATGCATCACTTTAAGCCAACTCGAGACAGACTGTACACCACCCGGTGTTGCGGATGTTGCCACGTCCGGACGGGGACCATCATTCTGGGAACTTGGTATATGGTGCGTAAAATGGTGATGGGGATTAGCGAGCTAATGCTAGCTAGCAATGCTTGTCAATAAGTTCTGTGATAAGTTCGATAAAAGTAACAAGTTACATTATAAATGTCAACCAGACTTTCGATACACATATCAATGTTAGTATTACGACTGTTTTCGTTCACTTTAATGTAAGCTAGGTGCTACTTTTTGACCATTTTAAACAGCCGTTACACGCCTCGCTTATAACTGTACAGAGAGCTAGCGTTAGCAGCCTGCTAGCATTACAGCTTTGACTAGCTCAGTGTTTATGTCGATACAACTCACCCAACCTTGAAAACGCGGTTATTTAATTGATATAAAGACAGTCAGTGGCATATTCCTGCTAGTTACCCACACCCGATTGGGTTCAGAGGGTATGAAATGTGTCACATTTGGACTTATGTTGCACGTAAGCGCAAGCTAGGCAACATTCCGCTAACTTGATAGCGTAATGGCTGTCAAATCATAACAAGCTTGGCAATGAGGGAATCCACAGTCGCATGCTGTAAGGGATACGGGTTTTGACATTATTTATGTTGTTAAAAAAGTATTAACATAATATTATCTAGTTTCTATTAGTTCATATACAGGCTGAAGTAGTTACAACTGTTTGCTAAGGTCAGCTATTTCTGCACATTTCTCATTAACTTCTGCTATAATCCCCTCCACCACGTCACAGAACAGATGTTCATGTTTTCGGTTGCATTTCGAGCTTTTTGCCAGCTGGACACTACTTGACTCATACAAAAACCCATGAGCATTTCCCTCTATTTTCACGAAATCACACTGATGTATATATAATTACTCTTGTTCACATATCTGTATACATATAAATTCACCTGATCAGAGTTTGAGTCCTTTTTTATTGTTTTGTTATTACATGTTTTTTTTAATTTTCTAATTCCTATTGTTAATATCCCTGTGTATATGTTTTACTATATGTGTTTCCTTTATTCTATTGCTGACAAAAACTGAATTTCCCAGAGGGGATCAATATAGGTCCATCTTATTTTATGTAGCACTAGGTCTCAAGCTAGATGCAACACACACAAAAAATCGGATACAACAACCAGACACAGCGATACAGTTAGTTAACGTTAAGATTTAGTATATTTGGGAGAAGCTGATAATGTGGTTAATTTGGCTTTTTTGCATTTAATGATGCTACAGCCAGATATCAGGAGGAGGAGAGATACATAATTGAAAATGCACAATAAGTTCCCTTCTCTATCCTCCTTGATATTGTCAGAACACATAAACAACTGGACATGATCAGCCTACGCTACACTTTTCTGCAGTTAAAGTTGGAGAAGTTTTAGATAAAATGTTGAGGTCAGTGTCGAACAATAATGCTTTGTTTTGTCGCAGATGCTCTGGTTCCAAGTTAGTTCCAGCTCTAAAAAGCTAGTTTTTAAATGATAGACTAGGACCATTTATTTATAGTATTTCACATTAATTTGAAATTCCATCTATTATAAAAGATTATATTAACTTGGATGTTCTTCCTTCCAGATAACCAGTTGTTTCAGGTCATGACACCATGTGCTACTGTATGTCTATTTCCCTTAATTTACCACAATATTCTGTATCTTATGAATGTAGCAGCTTGAATGCTGGAGCATCCTCAGGTCCTTAAATGGTTGCTCCTCACGCCTTCATTACCACATGATGATAAAGTAACCTTGACATAAAAACAGTGATAAATGATTCACTGTTATCTTATCCACATGTTAACTTCCTTAAACTGAAAACTAATGCCTGACCTTAAAGGAGTTATTTAATCCAAAAATGTTGTTAATTATTTAAAGGCTAAACAATTTGTTGGTAATGTGCTAAGACATGCATAATTGTTCTTTTAAAAACCCTCTCTCTTTTCCCTCCTTCCTCTTTTCAGGTAGTCAACCTGTTGATGGGCATCCTGCTGACGGTAGCTGTGACCCACCCGGAGAACGTGCCCACTATCGACTTGCAGTATGAGGTCATCGACCATTACTTTGCGTCCGACAGGATGTCTGGTAAGCGGTTAAATCTACATAAGAAATACTATAAGGGCTCTCAAACAGCATTATAAAAATACATTGTTTTGAGTTTATTGAGAGGCATTTACACCTTTTTGAATATATTCATTCAAGGTAGGCCTTACTTCCATGGTGTTCAGATGAAGATGTTTTGCCCGCGGAAACATCAAACATATGCTCTGGATTTAGAAGTGTATATGTGCTCAACAGATGAGCTGCTATTATGTGAGGTGGAACATGTGATTCATCTTCCTCAGGGAGCAAACCTCCCCACGGAGTGCAAATCAAAGCAACTGTGTTCATGTTGTTATTGGACTGGGGTCACTTGTATTGTTCTTTTGTATTTCCTTGAGGTTTTGTGTTTTAGCTGAGGTGCTTGTACCAGGGCAGGGCTGGCAGGACTATCGGAGTGCTTTTTCCATCTGGCGTTTGTTCTGTTCATTTGGCTTGGTGACTCCTCTTCATTTTTCTGAAACATTGACTCGGCGGGAGAGAAGAGGAAACAATCGTTGTGGGTTGACCTTCCCACAGCAGGCAAACAGGAGTGTAAAGTTAGCATGTTAGTGCAGCTTCATCAGGCTGCACGCTCTTTATACCACTAAATGTTTGAAAGAGATATTAAGAGATAACATGAGGAAAGGGTCTCTAGCTTTAAGTTTGGATTAAGCTTTTTGTCTATAACAAAATGCTAAATGATTGTGTTGCAGTTTCTCCAAATCTCTTTGGTCCCCCTCTTGATCTTATGTGTAAGTTAATGAAATAACTTTGGATCTTAGACTGTTTAATCAGACAAAACAGACCATTTAAAGATGTAACATTTGGCTTAAGAAAACAGATTGTAAAACTGCACAATGTTCTGCTATTCATTGAAAAAACATTGCTTTAACAAGAAATGTAGAGATTGCAGTAACACTATATAAAAAAGCAATTTGTTGACACATCTGACCCTGGCCTAGTGTTAGTATAAACCTAAAACTAAATACAGGTGGACAAAAACAACACAAAGACAAATCAAAACAATTAGACCAGTCAAAGGTCCATAATAATTGAATGCTATGTTTTCACAAACTGCAAAAGTGGACTTTCCACCAACTCCAAAGTACAAGCCTTTTTTTTTTATTCATTAACCAGAACTTGAGACTGTTATTTTGTTTTCTAAAACCTCAACTTGAGCTGCAGACAGTCCTCCATGTTTAGGTTGTGCTGCTGGAGCTGCTGAATAACAAAGAGAAGCCTCCAGGCCGCAGTGCTGCTGTAGCGTTCTCACCAGCATCGTCTCATCGTCAGTTGTGCAACAGGCACCATTGATTGAGGAAGCGATCAACTGAGTGATGGAGATAAAAGAGGATATGAAAGACAGGCCTTTTAATTATCCCAGTCTGAGTTTCATTGTGTATTTACCCACGCTACATAGCTCTGAGGGAGAGGCTTAATGCTCCCCAGAGCCTGCCTTTAAAACGGAGTTAGCTGCAAAGAGCCCAGCCGTGGGAACTGTTCACTTGCAGAATGTAAATCACTGCTGCTTCAAGGAGAGCCGACCAATCCATCCTCACTCACTGATAAGTAATGATTTATGTGCGAATAAACTCAAATTGTAATAACGCTTCCATGCTTTTTCTTTATTCTCACTTTTTCTCCCACAGAGAATGCCTGTGTGGGATTTGCCATCTCTCTGCTGATGCTCACCATCAGTGCCATGATGGTGTATGGAGCCATCACTGTAAGTCTGCACAGTGGCTACTCTGCCGTTTCTAATTCTCTTTTGACAGCGTGTACTTACTTTAAAGCGCCGTCATGGTTTCTTATGCTAATATGTGATCCCAGACTGCATGCATTGAAAAAAAAACATTGCTTTCACGCTGTTTAATAATAGCACCGGATTTAAGAGCTAAGCAAGACGTCATACGAAATACCAAAGCACCCTTCCCTTTTTCTTTAAACTTCAGTTCATTTCAGCTGGATGTTCAAAAGAGTGCTGGTGCAGTGGGAGTTGAGCGCTCCGTTCTTTGTTTTCACTGCCTGTCATCTTTACCTCACAGGCCTGCCCGATGGCATCAACACTGACAGGTTTGATAGCCTTTAGTCGTGGCCCTGCATTAAGCTGCTGGTTAGGATGTCTGCACAGTTAAAGGGTGACTCGCATCTGCAGGATCTGTTCATGCTGACGGTCTGCAAGAGTTATGCGTTAGCTGTGCACGAACATCTCCCAGACAACAGTAGTAGAAACCCCTTTTCCAATGCAGTGTGGCGGTGCAGAGCCGCAGTTGTTGTAGTGTCCCAATTCAATATCCTAAATGTTTCATGTTCATAATGTACGAAATATATTTAGTACTTTGCTACATTAACTAAGATTGGAGAGTAAAGTAGAAGTATCGTCCTTGCATAAAAAACACCCAGAATGCCTGTAGAGATTCTTGTAAAGTGACCCAGTTAAAGGAACGCTGCAGATCTTCAATCTTCTCTTTGTATTCGTTACAGTGAGGCTTGCTAATGCTACAGCGTCAGCACTCTCTGTCTCTGTAGGCAGGCTCTTTTCATTTACCCCAAACCACATGTGATGATGCAGCCTGAGCGCAGAGCAAAAGGCGTTTTTTCAATCCAGGAAAGATCTCAATTAAACAGAGAAACCCAGGGTTAGAATGGAACAAGCACTGAAAGCTGTTTTGATGCAGGCTGTGAATGCATCTTTATCTGTAGTTCTTGTAGAGGGCAATACCTCCATGATACAAATATGTCTAAATGTTAATCAAAGACATGTGTTGGGGGATAAGGTTGATTAATGCAACATGTTCCTTGTGCTCAATGACCTCAAACAGCCTCTGCCTAACTGATAAGTTTGTTCATTATAATTCTTTGTCTCCCCTGTAATCGTTCTCCTCAGCATCGTGACGGCTGGCTCATCCCGTTTTTCTGCTACCAGCTGTTTGACTTTGCTCTGAGCTGCCTGGTGGCCATCAGCTCTCTCACCTACCTTCCCCGGATCAAGGACTACCTGGACCAGCTGGTCAGTGCCAACACATTCCTCTGTCCACAGTCTGATCCCGTGGCGTTATAATTCATGACACCACCGTTATTAACCCTGACAATAGAAAACAGCATCTAATACTAAGCCTCATTGCTCTCCTTTTTATGTCATTTTTACCTAAAAATACCTCAGAATCCCTTTATTAGTCCCGCAGAGGGGAAATGTACATTGTTCAGGGTTCTTACGGTCATTAAAAACCTGGAAAAGTCATGGAAATTCAAAATGCTAATTCCAGGCCCTGGAAAAGTTATGGAAAACAATATTTTTCCCAAAGTCATGGAAATGTAACTAAAGTTGCGTCAAATATAATTTATATTTGATCTAATCACCAAAGTAGTAATACTATAATGATAATAAATACTGTATCGTTTAGTAATGAAACGTAAAATGGCATTTAACTGACGAGATATTTTGCTGGTGAGAGATTTTAGTTGCTTTAGCGTGTAGAAGCTAGTAATCCTACTATTTGATTTGTTTTAGATAGGCACGACATGTTTCAGATGCAGACCTTATTTTCCTGTTCCATGTTAAAATAAACCATTTTCAGTGGTACCGCTGAGAAAGAGTCATTGTTTTGGTAATGGAAAATTAGGTAAAGGTCATGGAGAAGTCATGGAAAATCATTGGTGAAAAAGTGTACGAACCCTGCTTGTTACAGCAGAAAAACAGCCAAAGACAGCTTAATGTTACATGCATGAAAATTAAGTATTAAAGTTAAAAAAAGTTACAATATAATACAAAATAGAATAAATTAAAAAGTTACACGATTTAAGGTTTATGTAGAAGGGTAAAGATATTTGTATTTGAATGTCAATGTTATATTTGTAAACCATTACAAGTTGTTCTTAGAAGAGAGTTGATTTAGTATCTTCATACTTTAGTGCACTTATTGTAAATACTTTTTGATAAGTGTTAAATGTTATTCCACGTTCATGGACAATGAGGAGAAAACATGACTGAAAGCAAATAATAATCAGTATAATCAGGCTATACAAATGTTGATAAATACTGAAAATGATTCACCTATGACATTTGACTGTTTAAACAACCTCAAGCGCTCTAAGGGTTGAGTTTCTTTCTGTGGGTTGCGTGGCAGCGTTGATGGAGATGTGTGTTGAGTTTAAAAAGGTCTCATTGATTATCTGCCGTCTGTTCTTGTCCTCCTCAGCCGGACTTCCCGTACAAAGATAACCTGCTCTCTCTGGACTCCAGCTGCCTGCTGCTCTTCGTGCTCGTCTTCTTTGCCTTCCTCATCATCCTCAAGGTGAAATCCTTGTTATTTATTCACAGATCCATCCGGTTTATTCTGTGTTTTGGTTCATTTAATTTCGATCCAATCAAACTTAAAACATAGTAAGTTTGATTTTTTTTTTTTAGATGAGGAAGTTGATATTAGTTAAATGTCTGTGGATTCAGTAAAATGATGATGATGATGATGATGATGATGATGATGATGATGTGTATATAATAATAATACACTTTATTTGTATAGCACCTTTCATTCAAGTGCTTTACAGAAAACATAAAAACAATATTAAAATAAATACAGAACAAGATAAAACATCTACAGCGATCCTAATGAAATACCCGTGAATTAAAGCTAACAAGAAATTAAAGTATGTTAAAATAAAACAATAAAAATATGTAAAATAAAAGCAAAACAGAAAAAAATATGTAAAACATGGACAGAGAGAATTGAAAGTTAACCCAAATTAAAAGCCATATTAAAAAATATGATGAATTTTTGTGCTGTTTTTAAATTTAAAAGATATGTTGTGGTTTTAGCAAGTTTAATAATAACATTCAAAATAAATGTTTGCTTTCCAGTCCTACCTGATCAACTGTGTGTGGAACTGCTACAAGTACATCAACAACAGGAACATGCCAGAGATTGCAGTCTTCCCGGCCTTCGAGACCCCTCCCCAGGTATGCAGGCTGCCTGACTGCTCTCTGATTGACTGCTGTGAATTTTCCGAGCGGTATCGCTGTCACACACTCGACACTTTTTGGTAAAGCAATGTGTAATGCTGACGTTGGGCCAACAGGTGGCATACTGTCCACGCAGTGATGGTATAAGAAGCCAAAAGCAGGCAGTAATCACATTAAGTGTTCAAAAAAGAACAACCTGTCAGAAGAAATAACATTTATTGCCAGCTACCATGTTTTTCGTAAAAAAATCTCCTCTTTCAAAGACTCTTAAATGTCTAATAGTTATTAAATTAAAACGTTTAGTCATATTGATGAGATGACACACTTAACTGGTGGTGAGGTTATCTCATATGGAATTGAAATCCACAATTACAAATATGTTATCAATTTGTCTGTCAGTTCCCTTGACAATGATTAAAATAATTGTTTGGTGTAAAAAGCATATTTCAAAGGTCCAAAATCCCAAATTGTCATATTTTAATCCCTACTTTTGTCGAACAAACAGCCCAATATCACCACATGTTCACTTCAATATCATAGAAGACAACCTGCATTAACTTTAGAGACGCTAAAATAAGTTAACTTTTAGCATGCTTTAGCATGGTTTGTTTTGTGTTTGTATCTTGTATTTTAAATGTATTTATATTATGTTGTGTGAGCTTATCTCTCTGTACAGCACTTTGGTCTGAAGGTTTTAAAGTGCTATATAAATAAAGTTGGATTGGATGCTTAAAATATGATTTTTGACCATTAAGACTCTTGATATCCAGATGAATGAATTTAAAATGTGTATATTCCTTAGTTGCAGCCCTAATATGTGTGCATCTGGATTAATATAGATTACTATATAAAGCACTTTGAATTGCCTTGTGTTGAAAGGTGCTATATAAATAAACTTGCCTTACTGATGTTATGCTGATTTGTTTTCTTCTCCAGTACATCCTGCCTACCTACGAGATGGCGATGAAGATGCCAGAGAAGGAGCCACCTCCCCCTTACATGCCTGCTTAAGCACCAGCCCCTGTTGCCAAACTACACACACACACACACACACACACACACACACACCACCACCATATGCATTCCTACCTTGCCTCACTAACCCTTTCTGAACACCATTTCACCCCCCCCCCCCTTCCCTGACCCACTGTGTACGTGTAAGGCCACTGACAACGTTTTGTTCAGCCCTTCCCTCTGTGTTCCTACAGAGCGTCTATAGAGCATCCCGGAGGTGTGAGAGGGGAAAGATGGGAAAGACTGAAATCTGTGAGATGAATGAATGAATGTGATGTTTGAAAAGCAAAGGAAGCTACCAGCCCTCGCTCCCACCCCTCTGGCCTTTTTTATGTCTTAGCAAAAGGGATACATGTGAAAATAAATTGCTTGAAATGCTATCATCAATCCAGCACCATCCTATCTATTGATTGATATATGAAGTGTAAAAAACATATTATGACAATCCATTTATTATAGCTCTTATTGTTGAATTGTGTTATTTTCCCCCCTAATTATTTACACCTAGACTATTCCATCTCAGTCATTGAATGGAGTCTGTAGCACTTTTTCGCCTGGTATTTATTTAGCTTTGCTGTGGTTCAGTTCACTGCCACCCCTGACATTTTCATCACTCTGCTGCCCCGATGTGTGAGCAAAGATAGGGATTAGTTTCCCAGCTGAAACGGAGAGACAGAGAGAGAGCGGAGGGCACTGATGATGATGATCATTTTCTCTGCTTCCTCCTCGCCCGACATCTGGAGCAGCAGCTAGTCTTGTGAACATTAGTATTTGCATGCTTATCAAAAGCCTCCCCATTTCTTTATTGGTATTATGATTTTATCCTAGTGGAAATACATTTGACTTCAATAAACGTTTCAGAAAAATTATGTCTCCATGACTCTTTTGTTATGTCTAAGATTCTGTAGTAAATTCAAAAGCAGATTTTAAAAGTGAACGTCTGTGATGTTGAGAAACACTTCAAGTTCTTCAGTGTAGGAATACTCTGTTACAAGTAAAAGTCCTGTATTCAAAAGGTAATTCAAGTAAAAGTACAAAAGTATTGGCATCTAAAAATACTCAAAGTAGCAAAGTAATATAGGCTACTTGCTATGCGGATTGGCCCATTTCAGAATCATATGTTGTCATTAAAATCATTTATGTATTGATGTGTTTATCAAGCTTGTTAAAGTGGACCAAATCTGTATTATGCCATTTCAATCAATCAATCAATGTTTATTTATATAGCCCAATATCACAAATGTTACATTTGTCTCAGTGGACTTTACAGTTTGTACAAAATATCAGTATGACAATACGACACCCTCTGTCCTTAGACCCTCACATCGTACAAGGAAAAACTTCCGGAGAAAACCCACAGTTTAAAGGGAAAAATGGGAGAAACCTCAGGGAGAGCAACAGAGGAGGGATCCCTCTCCCAGGACGGACAGACGTGCAATAGATGCCGTGTGTAAATTGAAAAGATAATACATTTGCAACATAGGTAGTCCAAATGTTTGGAAATGCATGTGTGTATAATAGGAAGATGAATCCACGAGGATATCCATCCAGGACCTATGATCCAGGACCACAGCCACGACTCAAGATCCAGGGCTCGCGATCCAGGACAGAGGAGCGCAGGATCATCCATGACTCTGGATCCCGGCGTATATAGACACCAAAAAGAAAGACATTTGGGGAAGCTGGGTTAATCGGAACATGAGAGTACACAGGTATAGACAGAAAGAAGTAAGATGTCCCCCCACAAACTAAGCCTATATCAGCAAAACTAGGGGCTGAATCTAATCAGCCCTAACTATAAGCTTTATCAAAAAGGAAGGTCTTAAGCGCACTCTTAAAAACGGATAGGGTGTCTGCCGTCCGAACATAAACTGGAAGCTGATTCCACAAATGTGGAGCTTGATAAGAAAAGGCTCTGGCTCCCATTGTACTTTTAGAGACTCTAGGAACAACCAACAACCCTGCATTCTTGGAACGCAATGCCCTAGTAGGACAGTAGGGTATAATGAGTTCTTTAAGGTAAGATGGCGCCTGCCCATTAAGGGCTTTGTAGGCGAGAAGAAGAATTTTAAATTCTATCCTGTGTTCTATAGGGAGCCAGTGTAAGGCAGCCAGAACAGGAGTAATGTGGTCCCTTTTCCTAACTCTGGTTAGTACACGAGCTGCAGCATTTTGAATCAGCTGAAGCGACTTGACTGACTTCTTGGTACACCCTGATAATAAAGAGTTACAATAATCCAGCCTTGAAGTAACAAATGCATGGACTAGTTTCTCTGCATCGTTTTGAGGCAAGATATGCCTGATTTTTGCAATGTTACGTAGATGGAAGTAGGCGGTCCTTGAAATTGATTTTATGTGGGCGTTAAAGGATAAATCCTGATCAAATATAACACCAAGATTCCTTACAGTCTCACTGGAGGCCAAATTAATGCCATCCATAGTTAGTATATCTTTAGATAGTTTGTTTCGTAGATTCTTCGGGCCAAGTACAATAACTTGAGTTTTGGTCGTGTTTAACATCAAAAAGTTTAAGGTCATCCACGTTTTTAAGTCCTTAAGGCAGTCTTGAATTTTATTTAGATGATTAATTTCATCAGGCTTGATTGATAAATATAGTTGAGTATCATCCGCATAACAATGAAAATGTACAGAATGATTCCTTATAATATTGCCTAACGGAAGCATATATAATGTGAACAAAATAGGTCCGAGCACTGAGCCCTGTGGCACTCCATGGCTAACTTTGGTTTGCGTGGAAGATTCATCATTGACACGTACAAACTGAGAGCGTTCAGATAGATAGGACCTAAACCAGCCTAAAGCAGTTCCCTGTATGCCAACTAAGTGCTCTAGTCTTTGCAATAAGATATCATGGTCGATAGTATCAAATGCAGCACTGAGATCGAGCAAAACAAGAATAGAGACACGTCCCTTGTCAGAGGCTATTAGAATGTCATTTGTGACTTTAACCAGAGCTGTCTCTGTGCTATGATGTGTTCTAAAGCCAGACTGAAAATCTTCAAATAAATCATTGTTTTTTAAGTAATCACACAGCTGTTTTGCGACCGCTTTCTCAATAATTTTTGAGAGGAACGGAAGATTGGAAATAGGTCTATAATTGGCTAAAACCTCTGGATCGAGGTTGTGCTTTTTAAGAAGCGGTTTTATCACTGCTACTTTGAATGATTGTGGAACATAGCCTGATAATAAAGACATATTCATAATATTTAATAAATAAGTGCTAATTAATGGAAAAACTTCCTTCAACAGCTTAGTTGGAATTGGGTCTAACATGCACGTTGATGGTTTAGAAGAGAGAATCATTGAATTTAATTGTTCAAGGTTTATGGCTGAAAAGCATTCTAGTTTACTATCTAGTGTAATATTAGAACTTACGTTTCCGGGAGCTGTTGATAACACTATACTGGTCAAAGGCAAGAGGTCATTAATTTTGTTTCTAAGAGTAACAATTTTATCGTTAAAAAAGCACATAAAATCATTACTACTGAGTGCTATGGGAATAGAAGGCTCAATCGAGCTGTGGCTTTCTGTCAGCCTGGCTACAGTGCTGAAAAGAAATCTTGCATTATTCTTATTCTCATCTATTAATGAAGAGTAGTAAGCTGCTCTCGCTTTACGCAGTGCTTTCTTATATTCATTGAGAGTAATATGCCAAATTAAACGAGATTCTTCAAGTTTAGTGGAATGCCATATCCTTTCAAGTTGTCTCGACTTTTGCTTTATTTTGCGGGTTTCGGCATTATGCCATGGAGCTAATCTATGTTGTTTTATTTTCTTCTTTTTTTCTTTATTTACTGCTGGGTAGCTTGTGAATTTACTCCACGTGTAACTAAAGTCTTATTTGATCACATTTGTTATCATTAATCCATATCTGCAAAGTAACTAAAGGTACCATGTAAATGTAGTGGAGTAAAAGTACAATATTTAGAGTTGTAGTGGGATCGAAGTACAAAGTAGTACCTCAGAATTGTACAGTACTTGAGTAAATGTACTTGACACCTCTGCTGCTATACGTCTCCCCGAAACGCTGCAGATAATATTTGAGATTTGTTCTATACCGTCCTCCATACCGTCTCTACCGGTGGAGGTCATGTCCCACCTTTGGATTGGACGATCGGTTTGACGCGTTGTGCTGAGAGCCCCTCATATGGGGAGGCGGTCAGTGAGGACCCTTTGAGACCGAGACAGACACCGGACAGACCACCGGAGGACTCTGCAGACATGATGAAGACTTTGCTCTGGAGCCTGCTGTGCTGCGCCGCGCTGCTGCTGCCTGATGCCCGGGCCACACACCCTCTCAATGCCGGGGACCCGCGGCTGATCTCCGCACAGAGCTACGCACAAACACGACTCAATGGCCGACCCCCGATCAGGACCCTGAACCCAGAAAGTAAGTTCTGAACGTGTTGGTACTTTCTAAGTGTGAGGGAAAAAGTTTACAAAACTTAAGTAAAAAAAATATAGCAATATGAAAGCATTAGTAGTGGAAAGCACATTTATTATTTACTTTAATAAGAGTTTTGAGGTACTTTAATACTACACTACAGATTTAACTCCACTAGTTTATGTGACGTTGTGGTTACTGCTATTATTTTAAAAACACAAATACAATTTACTGCTATAAATGAACAATCGTTTTGGTTTCTGACCCCTTACAAAATTATGCATCTACTAAAGTGACATTTTCCTTCAAAAATTCTCTGCTGGTTTTATTTAAATAACTTTATAAGTCGAGGCATTGGTTTTTTTTTTTCCTCCAACATCTGAAGTTTGGTGGTATTAAAAGACACAATTACCTGTCTTTTACCCCCTTTAGTGTGTTTAATGAGGCAAATACTTTGAATTTTGTGTCAAGTTTGGTTTTTGCCCCAAAATACTTTGGCCAGAAGCAATACTGCTCTTAAAAAATATAAATATGTTTATTTGTTTTACTTTCAAAACTATGTAGTAGAAAGTACTGCATTTCTCGCTCATATGTAGATGTAACATAAACTGTATTTGTTCAATTAAAGTACCTTAAGACTGTACTTAAATATAGTAATTGTTCCTATATCCACGCCAGACTTTTTTAATCTCATGTCAGTATGAGTTAAAATAGAAATAACTTTAAAAACTGTTATGTATTTTTTGCATATTACATTAAACATGTGATGTTGACCTGGTCTAGTTAGGCTGAACATGTAATGTAACCAGTAGTGGATGATTGGACTTTACCCTTTTCTTAAACACAACGTGCATGAATTGTGAAATGTGTTTACTGGGTGTTTCACAAGCATTATTATACAGGATAATCCAAGCTTGTTAGAAAACAAACCCACGTGGCTGAACTTACACTCGTGCTTCAACTAATAATGTGTCTGTCTATTGTTGTCAAATGTCAACTTACACCACTCTCCTGTACTTTCCACCTACTAATGTTCTCTATCACTTTTCCTTTCTGGTGTGCCTGTAGGCCACAGAAGTGCTTACACGTATAGAGGAGGGTATCACTACCACTACCAGCCACCAAGGATCCCTCCACCGGTAGTGTATAGACCTTTTCCTATGTCTCCTCCACTGACCTACCACAGACCCTCACACCCCATGCCCCCATACCACCACAGATTCACCGGCCCAGTGGCTCCACATATGCATCACATATACAAAGGTCTATCTCCACCAGTAGTTCACCACCCTCATCACAGGCTCAAAGGCCAGTTCCCTCACACGTTGAAAGGTCCCTGCCTCATAAAGACAGACCCAACAGTGCCACCAGCGCCTGTGGTTCCCCTTCCTCCAACTCAACCTCCACCTCCACCAGAGCCGACAATACAGTCAACTCTGCCAGCAACGACAGTGACCACCATGCTGCCGGTGGTGGTGACCACTGTGCCGCCGGTGGAGACCCCCGCTCCTGTGACGCTACCGGTCAGTACCCAAAGCGGCTTCATCACCACCGTCAGTCCTGAGACAGGTAGAACATTACCAGTCAGGTTTGCTTTCCAACCCAAATCTTCAATGCTTTTACAGGTCAGATCTGTTTGATTTGAGACAGAATAGAAACACACACCATTTATAGATTCTTTGTGAGATATTTTCCTTCTTACTAGAGAAGATTCACATCACTTTCACATCTGTTTGATTCATATTAAGCATTTGATGTTTAAAATAAGACAAGAGCTAACACTGATGTCTTTTTTAAATAAAAGCGGTATTTTTTCTTTTGTAAAGCAAAGAGGATCTGACACTGAACTGCAGAAATGTAGTTTGGTATGTTTATGTTAACGGACAGGCAGGGCTTCTAACAATGTCTCCATCTTTAGGTGGGACGTCACTTTTTTTGTGTTGACATCAAGCATCCTTTTCATTCAGGAAAATGAGATAAAAGGATATGATGGACTGAAATATTGAAATGATGTCAGTATGTTTAATGGCATACTATATCATTTTTTTTTTTTACCACTACATGGATGCACAACAGTTTCCTTCTGTCTTCATGGCAACATGTGTTGTGTATCCCAAAGTGTCCTGTGTTTTGTTGTCACTGACAGTTTAACCAAAACACTTGAATGTTTATCTGAATAATGACTATGACCTAATCCTGCCATGCTTTGGTTGATCACCAGAGACAGACTCTCAGTGCATGAGCCGTCCCCTGGACCTGGTCTTTATCATTGACAGCTCTCGCAGCGTGCGTCCCGGTGAGTTTGAGAAGGTGAAGATTTTCCTGGCTGACATGGTCGACACCTTGGACGTTGGCGCAGAAGCCACCAGAGTGGCCGTGGTCAACTACGCCAGCACGGTCAAGATCGAGTTCGTCCTCAAAAACTACTTCAACAAACCCGACATGAAGAAAGCCATCACCCGCATCGAGCCCTTGGCGGCCGGCACCATGACAGGCCTCGCCATCAAGACCGCGATGAACGAAGCCTTCACCGAGGAGTCCGGAGCCAGACCTCGCTCCAGGAAAATCACAAAGGTGGCCATCATTGTGACAGACGGGAGGCCCCAGGACCAGGTGGAGGAGGTCTCGGCCGTAGCCAGGGCTTCAGGCATCGAGATCTACGCTGTCGGGGTGGACAGGGCCGACATGCGCTCCCTGCAGCAGATGGCCAGCATCCCCCTGGAGGACCACGTCTTCTATGTGGAGACATACGGCGTCATCGAGAAGCTCACCTCCAAGTTCAGAGAGACCCTGTGCGGTAGGACAAAGTGACCTGCAAGACCTTTACGCCACCATTAACCCCGGTTCTAGTTCCTCAGTAAAGGGCACCTACAGTCTACAGGGGGGTTGTTGCAGATAGAGGGTAATTTACTGTGTTATTGGTGAATTATAAACTCTGAAATCATGAGGATAAAGCCAGATGCCCTCAACCCCCACATGGACTGCAGATGTCGGCACTAGAACCTGCTTTTAGTCGAACAGTCTAACCAACGTAAAGTCTTGGGGCTGTGCGGCCCTAAACTTTCAGCAAAAATGTATATGGTAATTGTTAGTCGTGTTTACTGAAGCCCTGAAAGACAAGTGACACAACATTTTTAACAAGCAGTTAAAGACTGATCTAAATTGAGTCGTCTCCCGTGTTTATGACACAAAATCTAATTTATAGCCAAAAGAAGGACATGACAGCAATTGGTTCATGACTTGCTAACCCACAATAAGTGTATGTTGTGTTGAGAGTGTATGGAGAAATTGAAAAATTTGAAGAAACCATTTATGCTTTTAGTAGTAGCAGTGCACTTTAGCCTCTAGTGGCCACAATGAATATTACATTTATTTATTTATTTCCTCCATATGTAAACAAGTTACTCTCTGGGCTTCCGTAAAGTTGTTCAGAGCATCTGAATGGTGTATGCTTTGAATATCTAAATATGAAATGATTTATAGCCGAACCTCACTTTTTTAAACCAATCTCAAAAATAAGGCATTCAAACTAATACATGCAATATACCTTAATATGGACATGTGAACATATCATATTCGTTATATGATTTGGTAACAGTGATCAGAATAATTTATTAAAATCTCTCGATTTTGATTAATTTCTTTGGATAAATGAGGTTCTGCTGTAAACTTGTATGTACTGGTCCATATTTTACTGTCCTGTTGTTTGTCTTGTCCCCCTAGCACTTGTGAAGTAATGTATCCATGTAACTTATAATTACTGCTTTACTTCAGGGTTCTGTGATTTTACCTGTGTTGTCCAACACACAGTGAACCTAAGCAGTTTGCAAATGACCTTGGCTGAGATGTGGTGAAGGTCTATGAAGGAATCAAGTTACATTTGGTCGAGTACAAACGCAACGGAAAAGCTTGCAAATATAATATACACTTGTAAAAGCTAAATAGATGTCAGAAATTATATTAGAAACAGCTGTCGCAGTAAAAAAATTGTTTATATTACTCATTTTTTGTCGACATTAGAAAGAAACTGATAACTTTTACCTGAATTATTTGCAGCTATCTTACCAATCAGGATCTACTTATATTAAAGTGTATCCAGTATCCATCCCTTAACCCCGGCTTATTGCAGGTCTGGACCCCTGTTCCATTGGAAATGACTGCGAACACATATGTGTCAACAGCAATGCCTCGTATTACTGCCAGTGCCGGATCGGTTATATCTTGAATACGGACAAGAAAACATGTTCCATGAAACGTAAGAACATACTGTATGGATTCCTGCAGCAAACATGATGTGTTGCTTTGATATTAATTAATGCTACTTACAGTGCATTTGTGAATAATGTGTTTGGCTTCCAAGCAGGGCTTCACAACATCACAACCAACTGGTGCACAATTCTCTATAATTCACTGTTTGCTGTAGCAAATGTTGGACCATAACCGGGTAATTTTATAGAATTGATTGAATATTGATGTAGCAAATTGCAAATGCTAAATTAATATTGTAGAATATTTGGGAACATATTATTTTTTAAGCTTTCTTCAGAGGCCCAGTTGGAAAAGTAGAGTGTGTGTTATCGTATATGTTTTTTTCATTCTCTGAAAGATCTGTTACACTGATATGACATTTGCTTTCTCCTGGAGAAGAGGTGAGGGCGGTGGTGGTGGAGGATCCCTGCAAATGTGAAGCCCGACTGATGTTCGCCAAGCAGACCCAGGCCGCCCTGCAGCAGCTCACAGCCAAGCATATCCTTTCTGTTGTTTCAGATGGAAGAAGTTTTATTATAAACACTCTCAGCGACCCATTTCTCTGAGGCTGATACCTGCTAGCACTGTTATTGTAACAGCATTTAAAAGCGTGTCTTGTGTATGTTTCATCATTTAATTGTGCCTGTACTTGAGTTTCCTTGACTGATCTCACTGGCCGATGTGTCTGGGAGGATCGAGCGTCTGGAGAACATGGTGGGCCACATTTAAGAGCTGCGCACTGTGGTAGGTGGTGACTGCTTTGTTCTCTGGGGGGAGGATTTAAAAGAAAAGCCTCTCACCCACCACACAGTTTGACCTTTCGTTTATTTACTTTCTGCAGAAACAGCTCGCCGGTTTACTTCCTGGACACGGACATGAGCTTCCTGTCATCCAGCCTCCCATAACTACTGTACGGACGTCAGACACAGATGGAGTGAAGCTGTGATTCATAAACCAATACCCCTCAAGCTACTGACTATAGTGGACTGTTGAGCTAAAACATATGCAGTTTAATGAGCATTTAACTACAGTTATTATTCTATTTCCCATATATATATATATATATATATGTGAACATGTATAATTAGTATAAGTTATCCTGTACTGTATTATGTATGTGTCCTGTTTGTACAAAGTTGCATATTGTATATAGTAGTGTTTATATAATTGATTTATTGGATGAATTTAGTGACAGATTTCAATGGAAAAAATATGACATTTGACTACATTAGATATTTTTGCATATATTTGTTTGTTATAGGCTCTCTGTTACAGTTTAACTAAATCACTTGTCATGGATAACAATTGTTAGTAGTCTGTGAAAGATATGAAATGAAAAATAATGTTTGCTAATATTTATAAATGTAACCAGGCAGACCAATTGGATAATAAAAAAGCCACAAATGAGAAAGTTGTTGTACACTTTTGTCTTTTTGAGTTCTTAACCGTAGGGCAATACTGACAATATTATTAATATTGTTCTATAATACATATTATTCAGACATTTGAATATAACTGCCAAAACAGTAAAAACTACTTAATAAAAGGCTAATGGGAAAATACATTGAACAGCTTTTGCTTGAAAGATTTCTGACCATCAACTAAACATTTTTATTTATTTCTGTTTGAAAAAATGAAACCTTATTATCATGTTAAAAGGCTTATAAAACATTTCACTGATATCATTGCTTGGTAATAAGCAATAAAGGGTTTTATTTATTGTGAGGTAAATTAAAATCCTTATCATGATAAATCCCACAGTGTTTTTTTATAAAATATTGATCAGGATAAACTCTATATCCAATAAATGATATGGCAGAATAGACATATTGCTCTGAAATATATTTCTGCATAAACAAGAGAGACATTGTATCAGTTTATATAATATAACTGGACATTTGAATACCATGTATGTATTTCTGTGTCAATAGAAAAGGGTAAACACAATGGACGTTCTAACATTTTTGTTAACAATGTGTTAAAATGTACTCTGGTTTAACAAAAACGATCAAAGCGCTCAGATATTTGAGGTCAGTAAGAGATCACTTCCTAACCCTGAACTCTTTCTTACCCACAAACACACCTACAGTCACCAAACATACTAAATAAATGTCTAATAAACTCTACAGAGCTACACATCCTTCTAACCTAAGTGGATTTGGACGTGAATTATTTTTAACAGCGTTCATCTGTCATCTGTTTTTTAACCCTGTTATCACCATCATGTTTTTTTACACCTTCAGTGTTGCCAAAAAACAACAGAGAGAGGTCGTCGTGAAACCTCTGGAATGAGTTGGCTTATTTGCCTGAAACAGAGCGTCTGTGTCTGCTCTGTCTGTGAGAGGGAGAGAGTCAACACGCCAAAGTTTACCTGGAGTCTGGTTTGGATCCTCTCCCTCTTTCCTTTAACCGGACAGCTGTTTTATGTTTGTTCGCTATTCCAGTGTGCATGGTTTCCACACGGGCAGGCGGTCAGGGAGGTGAGCCCACCGGTGTGTCTGTGGAGGAAGATGAATGGGACTCACAGGCCTCTGAGAAGTGGAAAAGACACATAAAGGATGGTGCAAAGCGTTCCTGCTCAGGTTTTTACTTGAGGATACATTTGAATATTTCTTTAAAAAAGTTTAACAGTGTTACTTTTTCATTGATGAGTGTCTTTTAAGAGTCATTAAACCCCCCTAACCCCCCCCCCCAATATCCTATAATGAACAATATAACACTCACAAAGCTGCACTAATCTACACTAAGCTTATAAATGGACTGAAGTTAAAGAAGGTAATATACAAAATACGGGGAATAAACCTTTCACTGTATGTACTAGTTTGTTTGCAGTTGGCAAATCTGCAAATATATGCAAATATTTCAAGAGTCAAAATCATCCTTAAAATAATTCAAATATTCGGTTTCAAATACGTTTTTTGTTGTTGATTATGATGAGTTCATTCCGTACCTTGTGAATTTATTACTGCTATTACCAAATCCACTTACTGGTTAACGACTCTGTGGAACCAGATGTATTTTCGTAAACCTTATTTTGTGAACCTTCATCAACTTTTTTTTCTTTTTTTATATTCAATATCAAAATGTAGCAGCAATAACTTCCTTAAAAAAGTGAACTGTAGTGATAAAAGTTCAGTGTGGTGGTGCCGTGTGTCTGTCAGTGAAGAGGATGTAGCTGGGTGATGGATTTGTGTCTATGTTCTGGCAGACTAAAGGGGATTTTGATACTTTGTGTTAAGTCTCTCAGCAAACAGCAACATTTAGGGTCCAAAAAAAGCTCTGAACATACCAGTCTGTGCTTCACGTGGACAGGCTGTCCTTGCCAACATAAACGTATGGGATTTTCCATAGCTTCATGGAGTTTAAGTTGACCTCAAATTTAAAGAATCTGACCTCTAATGATGAGCACAGTGGTACAAGGTAAAACTGTCTCATTTTAATGGATTATTTCTCAAATGAACATACGGTATTTGTGTACTTCGTGTATCTATCTATGTACATGATTTATATTTGTTTGACTTGATGTATGGGTTTTTCTGTATTTGCAATTTTTTGAATTCTATTTTATTTGTTTTGTTTATGTTTTATGTAATACCCTCTGTACTGCTTTTGTAAAAAATGGTGCTATACAAATTGAGTTGCATTGAATTATTTTGGAGATGTCTCCCTTGTTTTTATATATTTTCAGACTTCTTGGGCTTCCCGATTTTAGGATGCAGAAACTCAAAGATTTATGTTATATATGTAAAGTTATCCCACATTCCCACAGGTTGTATGTTTTTGTTATTTTCCTCAGCCAGCGGTATGCACTCTCTTCCTCAGGGTCATTTGCTTCAACTCGTCTTGAAGATAAATGGACCGCAAAAGGGAAGTGCGCGGCTACTGAACAACCTTTGCTTCCTTAAGTTGACTTTTCACCTGGGAGATGGTCTGAGAATGTCTCACCAGTTTGCTTATGGGTATGCTAAATTGTGTATTTACTGCAGCGAGTGTCATACTGACCTGAGAGCGGTGTGACAGATGTTTCATTGTGTGAGGGTCACAAGCCTTTTCTTTTTTTAAAACACATCCATTGCTGCAAAAATAGGAACATATTTTTCCAGATAGTTAGCCACTGACTGGATCTTTGGTTAAAATGTCATGCTTACAGTATTTAAACTGGTTTTGAATGCACCTACAGACTTTGATGTCTTTAAGGCCTGGTTTTTAAAGGATCTGAGTCAAGTCTGCCACCTGCTGTTACAAAAAAACATTAGAAAGATATCCTCGGTGCATAACTGACTTCATGTTTTTACTTTACTCTACCTGTATTTTGTATTTAATTTGTATCTTATTTTGTATCCGTTTTTATATCCTGTTGTTTGCACCTTATGTATGTGTGTTCATTGTTTTGTTTGACACCAGGACCAGGGAAACACCGTTTTGTCAATTCATGTGCTGTACTGCTTTTTATACTGATGGATGACAATAACAACTCGCGTATCTTTAAAAATAAAATAAACAAATACATTAAATAAAAGCCACGTTTATTTATATAGTCACTTTTATGAAGTGATGCATCCTCTGTGGTCAATTTTAAGTGATATATTAATAAAGGCAGGTTGTGTGTCAACCAGTACCCTCATAATAACTCCAAAAAAATGCAGAGAAGCATCGACATATGTAAAGTGGAAATGATATCTTATATAATAAACAAAACTCAAAATGATAAGTTGTTTGAGGCGCTAAATTAAATACATTCTGAAGCCCCATTGATAAGCCCCGCCTTCTTGAGACGCACTAGAACGTGATTGGATGTTTTCTTGCTTGTCGTCACTTCCGTCTTTAGGAAACACAACAAACCCAGCGCTCTGAACAAACCTTAACAGAATTCACAGCTAATGGAGCAAGACAACCCTCAAATACTTGAACATGCTCACTCTGAGTTTAAAAACCAGAACTTCAAATGTGCAGAACTACTGTATACAAAGTTTATCTCGTCCTGTTTACAGTCCAGGTACTGTTTGTTCCTTTTTTGGCGATGTATAGCAAGTCTGTAGTCGTTTTAGTGTTACAGCTTATTCTGTTATCCGTCCAATTCTGTGTCACCGGCTAAAGCTAACTGTTAGCTAACGTTGATGTTTCTTTGACTTCGGTGTCATTTTCGGAGACTTTCTTTAACGCTGTCATATTTCCACAGGGATTGTAAAGCCAGTCATTTGGCCACTGCTTACAACAACCGCGGACAGATAAAGTACCTCCGGGTGGATTTTGGTGAAGCGGTGGAGGACTTCTCTTTAGCGATACAGAGTGACAGCAGCTATGAGACACCTTTCTACAACAGAGGACTCATCCACTATAGACTAGGTAAGGGTACAGAGACCCCTTTTAGTCCAAAGTTCACAGGAGATAGTTATCTGTTATTTTCAAGCCTGACAGAGTAAAAAAACGTCACTTCCGCTTTGCTTCAAAAATAAATGTCAAAATAATTGTATATTTAGGTTGGATATTGGATTGATATTCACTTGTGTTTTCTAGGTCTGCTTCACTAACTGTCGGAACCTCTTTTCTTGTGGATTTTAGTCAATTTTTTTTAGATTAATATAAAACTAACAATAAATAAAACGTTTTTTTTGTTGCAATAGCTTCCATATATGACCTATTGACCCCAAATAAATGCAGCATTGTACAACATAACTAGACGAGAAGGATACACACCTCTTTGTACATTTAAATGGCTTTTTCTATTTGATATGAATATTGTCATGACAACTGAATCTGTGTGAACATTGAACATTAATAGAATATCACCTCCCATCTTCAGAGCAATCTGACTATTATAACATTAGCGTTAAGAAAGCTTAGGCTACTTAAATATCTGCCACAACATAAGTAACCGGATCAAAGTAACAGTACAGTCCGCGGCATATCACATCATAATGTATCATATATTTCCTTATCTGAGTCAGCTGAGCCGTATCCCTGCAACACTCACAGTGTCACATACTGTATGCAGAAGTATTATTTTAAGCAACACATTAAGTTGACGAAACACTCGAGTCAAATGTAATTAAAGTCAGATCCACTCGTGTCTTAAATGATCAATCAAAAAAGCACAGCACTGGCTCAGTGAACTATAGAAACTAAGCTTTCTTTAAATAGCCTTTCCACAAGCTTCCTGTTGGTTGTTTTAGCAGAATACCTTGTGGCAGTGACTCTTTCTTGAGAAGTCAACCAGCTCTCTCTTAATATAGATCTATAACATCTGTCATTAACTGTGTTGTGGTGCGGTCCCAGCATTAGATGGGTTAATGTGTGTTTGAGTCAGTCGGTATGTTCTTCTTTTAACACCAGATGGAGCTGTGTACTCACTTGTTCTCATGATGCCCAGAACATAAAACTGCTGACTCTTAATGTACAGTGGCCCTGAAGTGCAAGACACCCGCAAAAAGCTAAAACAAAGGGCCGGCTGTCACAAAACAGTCATATCTAGAGACCTCAAAAACTACTCTAGCGAGGCCTTTAACCTAGAACTGGAGAGCCTGGACTGGTCAGATGAGCTCAGTGGTACACAAGTTGAAGAAACATGGCTTGGTTTCAAAAACAAATTCACTGCAATACTCAATGATTTGGCCCCCCCTAAGAACAACCAGGGTAAAAAATCGCGCTGAGCCGTGGATGCACTCCGGCATACTGACCGCCATGAAAACCAGAGACAAAAAATGCTCTGAGTTTCATAAAAGTCAGTCAATGCTTTCCAAAAGCACGAGCAGTGAACTCCAGGCCCACGTGACTGAACTCAAAATTGAAAGAAACAGACTAAGAAATGACGTAAGCTCCATGATCAAAACTGCCAAAAAGAATTTCATCAATGTCAAAACTGAGGAAAACAAAAATAAACCCCGTGAACTTTGGAAATTACTCAATAACCAGCTTGGCTGCAGTAAAAAACTCAAAACGAGATTTTCTAACTTAAACATAAAGACAGATAACAGGCTCATCACAGACAAACTGGATGTGGCCAAGTACTTGAACATTTTTTTCACAAACATAGCCACAACTCTTGTAAATAAATTACCCTCCCACTCAGGGCTTTTTGGAGTAGATCACATCATGACCTACTACAAAAACCTAGGGGTACGCAAAGATGATTTCAGTCTAGCAAGGGTAACAACAGCAGAGGTACTCATTAAACTGAGCGCCCTCCAACCTAACAAGGCCACTGGCCACGACAATATCCCCTCCAAATTCCTCAGAGACACAGCAACTGCCATCTCACCAGTCATAGCTCACATAATTAACCTCTCCATAAAACAGGGAAAAGTACCCAAAGACTTCAAAATTGCAAGAGTAACCCCCCTGCACAAAAAGGGCAGCAAATTGGACCCAGGCAACTACCGCCCTGTTTCTATACTTACCTCCATCTCGAAAGTCATGGAAAAAATAGTATATGAACAGGTCGAAAAGTACCTCGCGGAAAAGAAACTAATCTATGAATTTCAATCTGGCTTTAGAACATCCCACTCCACTGACACATGCCTTCTTTATTTGAACGACCACATCAAACAAGAGGTGGACGAGGGCAAGTACTGCGGCATGGTGATGCTGGACCTACAAAAGGCTTTCGACACTGTCAATCACCCCATTCTGATTGACAAGCTAAAAGCAATTGGTTTTGATAAACTATCGGTGAGCTGGATGCGGTCCTACCTGGAGGGGAGAGAACAGATAAACGGTACTCTGTCCCCCCCCCTCCCAGTGAGCTGTGGTGTTCCACAAGGAAGCATATTAGGTCCGTTACTGTTCCTAATTTATGTAAATGACAGGTCATCTGCATGTGACTGCAACTTGTTCCTGTTCGCGGACGACTCAGCCCTGCTGGTCTCTGACAGGAACAGGTTGCAGGTTGACAAAACCCTCAGCTCCGAGCTCGGCAGAATCTGCACCTGGCTCGCCGATAATAAATTATCATTACACCTGGGTAAAACAGAGTCCATTCTCTTCGGTTCGAAACATAATCTCAGCAAATCCGACGACTTCTCAGTTGCAGTGGGCGACATTATTGTCACAAGTAAGAAGGAAATTACATACCTAGGATCTATTCTTGAGGCAAACCTCTCCTGTGACAAAATGGCATCCAATGTAATAAAAGAAGTCAATCAAAGAACTAGATTCCTATACCGGATCTCCTCTCTGGTAAACAAAAACACCCTGAAAACTCTGGCAGGAGCACTCATTCAAGGGTACTATGACTATGCTTGCACGTCATGGTACCATAGCACCTCCAAGGCGCTAAAAATAAAACTTCAAACATCGCAAAATAACCTGGTCAGACTACTGCTTGACCTTTCATCTAGAACCCACCTCACCTCTGCCCACTTTGACAACCTAGGATGGCTTAGAGTAGACGACAGAGTACAGCTACTTGCAATGGGCCTGGTCTACAAGATCCACTACACCTCTATGGTACCCATGTACATGTCAACATTCTTCCCAAAGGTCAAGGAATACCATGATCATAACACCAGAGGGAGCTCCACAAATCATGTGAAACCCAGATTTGGCACAAAAAAGGGGGAATACACGTTTCGCAATTATGCCACATCAAGGTGGAACGCTCTTCCCACAACTGTAAAGGAAAGTAAAACTATACTTACCTTCAAAACCTCTCTTAAAGAGCACCTTCGGGGGAGAGCATTGCAAAACTGGCCCCGGTATTGGTACAAATCTCAACCTGTCGTTCAATGGACAGCTTCCCCCCCCCCCCCCCCCCCCCCCATCTATGTATATACTCGCATTTTAGACTCTGTTACTAACTGTATATCTGTAGACTTGGTATGTCTTAAATGTCCGGTTAGGATGTATTAGAACGAAATCTAAAATGAAAATTGTAAACAAGCAATCTGTATGTAAAAAAACCACCTGTATGTAAATTGTAAATAAGCCATCTGTATGTCAAATATGTCTTATATGTCTTAAATGATATGATGAATTGGAAATGGGGGACCCTGATGTAAACAAGACGAAAGTCTTTCTCTGGTCTGCATCCCCTTAACAATTGTATGTTTTGAGCTGTACTGTACTGTACCCAATATACAAGCTGTTAATACACTTTTCAATCAATCAATCAATCACACCACAGCATATCAGAAAACGAAAACACCACAGCATTTCAGATTGGACGGAATGGGTATTCTTTAGGGAGAAAACGTATTGTTTGTGATTGGACAGAGCCAGCCATAGAAGCACTGCTGTGATTGGTTGTTTTTGCTGCCAGTCAAGAAATTACGCTTCGTGATTGGCCCAACACATCAGCCATTATCTGTTAGCACACACTCAGAGCTCACAGCTCCTCATATCTGTTCAGAAACTGCACAAAAGTTAAATATATACAAAACACAGACTGTCTATGTCATGGTGAATACAGTCGCTGCTTTATTTATGTCTGTATGACGTTGTTGTGAGTGTGGACGGAGCAGCTACAGGTTAGTTTAGCCTGATCGATCTGTGGTGTCTTGCACTTCAGGGCCACCGTATTAATGAGCTAGTTTGGCAGTACATTACATATCATGACATTTATCTATGAACATTTTTAATGTCTTATAGGTTTTTTCGATGATGCCAAGAGTGACTTCCAACAAGTATTGAAGATGAATCCAGATTTTGAAGATGCCAAAGTGAGCCTGAAACAGACACTTCTGGACCAGCAGCACAAGATAGACAGGGGATACTGACAACTCCATAAACTATAGAATATACCTTTTTATAAATCCTGAAATCTGTTGGCTTGAAGAAACAATCTGTCAAGTTTTGTCAAATTATTTACAATAATGTACAGCTATCGTATAGAAAATTGGAATTGTATTTGATCTGAACATGAACCCTTTGATTAAAGATATCAGAATGAAGATGAACCTTAAAGTAAACACAAACCACATAAAAAATAACCTACACAAGGAACAGAAACAATGAAAATAAAACTATTGCTGCAAAAACATTCAGTTTGAACCTATGAAACCAAGTAGAAATCCCACAGGGATGGGTGCGACATTTTGATATGGTTTTTGTTAAGCAGAGCATCGATTATTCCTTCTTCTGCACTGACTCAACACTCTTGGACAGAGCAGAAAAATCAACCCGGGTGAAACGATAAGCTCCGGTTTTACTGTCTGTAATACATGTTAGTACATCCTTAGTGGTTTGAGAATATATACAAACAATAATCAAGTGTTAGATTACAGTCATTATAAAGAGGCTCAAAGGAAAAATCAAAAGCACATGTGATTTTAAGGAAAAGTTTAATTTATTATTAACTGTGGATTATTTTGTTGCTTCTTCAAATATAAAAAAGTAATATATGTATAATATTAAATACAAATCTACTTTTGCTGAACAATAAATACTTTTTTTACACTACTGAAAAATGTGTGTTTTTCCTTTCCATACATATGTTCTTACAATATGTTCTTAATAAACTAGGCATACATCAGCTCACCTTGTGTGTGTGTGTGTGTGTGTGTGTGTGTGTGTGTGTGTGTGTGTGTGTGTGTGTGTGTGTGTGTGTGTGTGTGTGTGTGTGTGTGTGTGTGTGTGTGTGTGTGTGGAGAATCCTTAACAAGCCTCACCTGTGCTTTGTCGTAAAGTAGAATATAAAGCAGCTGCTGATGTCTCAGTTAATCATCCAGTCACCTTCCTTTTAGACTTGTGTTTTTGTTGGAAGGTGTGCTGGACATTGCCAAGCTCTGATACTGACTGTATTCTTTTTGGTTTTACTGCTTACAAGCTGCAACATGCTGAGGCTTGGGAACATGTAAGTTACATTTCTTGTAGATTTCTTTCTATGTGTGTACTTAATTATCTCTAAATGATGTGTTTTATGTGTTCAAGTTTGTTATGGATGGCTGCAGCTATCATCTTGGGTCAAGCCAGGCCTAATTTGAAGCTATATTTGCAGTCAAGTAAGCTTCAATTCTCATTAAGTCATTTTACACAGCATATTAAGTCGGTTTACATTCTCCTCACAAGCCTTTTCTTTTAACAGGCAGTGGGTTAAGGTCTGACTGTGCCGCAAATGTAATGAGACTGTCGTTGGACAAGGCTTTAGCAGTGGGAAACCAGCTTGAGGTGGAGGCCATCAGTAAGTATTAACTGCTAATAATGCAGCTGATTGGTTCATCACTGAGGAAAGGGGTCCCTGACAAAGCTTATTTTCTCCCCTCAGATGGCACCAAGCACATTTTGTTAACACCTAGCATGGCTGCTCAGTGTGGATACAGCATGGAGTCTGACCCGTGGGGTAACACTAGAATCTACACCTCCCTGATGGGCTGCTTTGTGGACAACAAGGTTTGTTTTGAGCTAAAGTGGTTTAACAGCATTCAATGTAATTTTCTACCAAGTTTAGCTGTGCTAATTCTGTCAAGTGACTGAATTAATGGCTCAACAAACACATGGTTGCTCCCATTTTTGTGTTTCCCTTAATTTATTTGTAACCCCTTACCGTTAAAAGACCCAAAGTACATTTCCCTTTTTTGTTTGGTACATCCCTAAAATATTAGCTCTGCTCCACTCAAAACTGTATTCCTTAATTAATCTACTAGGTACTTTCTTGACTTGTTTGTTACATACACAAATATCCATTTAGACTTCAAATGTGTCCCTGAAGGCAAGGATATTACATTTTCAATGACAAAGAAGCTGGAACCAAAGAATATAAGGGAGTTTCACTTAATTTAGTTTTTTTTATATTTATAGGATGATGCTACATTTAACGTTGGCTTGAGACTCAAGATGTACGGCGAGAATCCATCAGACGTGGTCAGTCATGACGTGTCTCAGACTTGCAGCTACACTCGCTGGGCCTCCAGGGAGATCCTCTGCGACAGGAACTACATGGAAGTAGGTCATCTTTATATTGATTCCACCATCTTGTGTGTATGGAAACGAATGCTAAAACCACCATTTTCTGTTTTAGGTTTCGCACCACATGGCTAACCTTGATGCTGAAGCTAAGGGTCAGACTCGGGATGGTAAAGACGAGAAGCTCAACGCCAAGCTTGAAGTATGTTGAATTAAACCGTTAAGATACTACAGTTTAATTCCTCCCTACACCAATGAGGATTTAATTATTATTTGTTCTTTCCTGTAGGCCTCTGGTGCATCACAAGGTATCTGGAAGATCACGTTTTACACCCCAGAACCAGTGGCCATGGTGTTGCAAGAGGCTGAACAAGCCGGCTACGCTGCCAAAACTACCTCTAGTCGCCTGGTTATGCGAAGCCCGTACAATACAGCAGAGACTTATTCAGAGGATGTAAGCAACACACTCCTATACAGTGTTTCTTTCCTTTCCCTCCTTGTCAATTATATTAAACCTCTCCTCTCTTTAGGTGGCTGGAGTCCCCATGGAAGTTTTCAGGGTGAGCGCCTACTACATGGCACCACAGGGTCTGAATGTAGTGAACTTGGCAGCTGCTTGTCCCAAAGGTGAGTCCTGAGCAACATATTGCCTTCACAGTAAGCTTAATTGTTGCACAGTTAACCTCAACAGCTCCATTTTGTCATCAACAGGTGGCGTCCTCTTCACCGAGGATATGATCTCTTGGCACGTACCTCGCCGTGTGACTCCTCTGTTGGACGGCAGAATTACAGTCTCGGAAATGCACATGGGAATCAACGGGCAGAGGCTTGATAGATCTCAGATGGCCGCACGGGGGTACACACTGAGCACCACAGACTTCCACATGGTCGTCGAGATCCCAGTGGGCTCGCCTGATGGTTACTACAAGGTTGGAAATCTCTAGATTAGAAATGCAAGAGTCACTAGTGCATTTGCATGTTTTATTGAAATGTCATGAATTATTGCAGAGCCATGCCCCAGATTACCAGTACCACATCACCTACTTTGTGGAGCCCATGCTTGAGGTACTGTGGAGGGAAGATGACACCCAAGATGATACCAGATACAAGGTTTTGTTCCCCATCATGACTCCTCTGGTGCCTCAATCTCCCCAAATCCAGGATGGTAAGTCACATTTTCTAGTAGGTATGAAAAAAAACGACATTAAAACTCGGGCTTGCTCGGATATATCCTAAAGACTGCTAAACCCATTAAATAAAGTCTTCAGTTTTTGCAAAATGGTGTGTTTGGATGGGATTTGAAGCGAAGTACAACATCTACTTTTGCTTACAAAGGGCACTTTTTTGTTTTTTTTAAATAGCACTCAATCCAACTACTCAATTTTTCTCTATCAATGTTGAGGCTGGTTTAGAAGTTGTAAACCTGCCACTTTCTGTTCCTCAGACACTGTCCCAGAGACTCGGGTGTTCAGCGTTCTCTTGGGAACCTTCCTCCATGACGTTGAGCTGAGGAACATCACCTTCTCCACCGGGGTCCTCACTGTTGAGGAGAGCAATGCCAAAGGCTTCACAGTCCAGGAACACAGCTTGGCTAATGGCTCCAAGAGCTTCTCTCTTCAAGTGCCCTTTGATGCCGATGTTGTCTTAAAACATGTATGACATTATAGATTCAAAATATCACTTTGTACCAGCATATTTTCAGTGTTGCTGAGCTTTTATTTCATTGGTTGCAGAATCCTGAGCGCTTGGTTACATCCTACTTCCTCCCTCTGATCTTTGGGTTGATCGTCCTGCCTGAAGAAACTCCTTTTGCTCTCCCGGTCGACCTGCATGCCTCTCTGCAGGATGTTGGCGAGATCAGATTGAATTTGCTCTTGACAATATCTTCATGCAAATTGTGTTTTCTAAAATTAAATAAAACATATTGGAGTAAAAGCTACACCATCAAATGGATAATGTATGTTTTGCTGCTCTAGTGTTACCCATCATGGCTGGCACCTGTGACCAGAACCAGTTTTACATCAGCGTGAAGTTCGGGAGTCACGGCTCTAATTTCAAGGCTATCGTTGGACCTCGAGAGCTGACGGCTGAGATGGCTGAAGACTACAATTTCTATGAGAACGGCACACACCTCAGCCTCATTCTGCCATACACTGCCAAGGACGCGGTTTTCGAGGTATGTCAAAACTACAAAATCCCACCATAGATCTTCTGCATTGGCTAACTTTACTTTCTTTTCCACAGCTGCTCACTGCAGAATCAGTCAAATCCAGAATTGACTTGCTTCTGTTGGATCGTGCAAATGACTGGGTGCTTGCTGATCTCTATCTGGCTTGCTACTTCCCCTTAAAAGCAACTGGTGAGATACAATAGAAGTATATTTGCTGCTTTAATTGATGGATTTTTGTTGCTTTACACATTGCCTGCTTCTTCTTCCAGAGTGCCACCCCAATGGCACAATGACCGCTGTGGCTGTGAAGGTTGAATCGACTCGTAATCTGAAGCCAAGTCAGCTGACGCTAAAGGACCAGTCCTGCACACCACAGTTCAGCGACGATCGCTTTGCATATTTCTCCTTCAGTGTGGATACCTGTGGAACCACCAGAACGGTGAGTGTGAATCACATTTAAATATCAAAAGGTTTTTTTTGTCAAATGTTAATACGTTTTTGTTGTTAAATAGTTCTTTGACAACTACATGATATATGAAAATGACATCCGCCTGTCTTACAACAACGCCAAAGGAGCAGCCAACACATCACCAGTTGATCCTGAATACAGGTAAAACATTTGATTCTGTATAATTGGAGATGAACACCTTCAATGTATGCATTTATATATTATTTTTCCCCTAATAGGCAAACCATTTCCTGCTTCTATGTGGTCAATGAGACTCAGACTGTTGCCTTCAGCGCTAAACCAAGAACCTATGAGCCCGCTGCAGAGATCGGCACCGGCCAGCTGATGGTGCAGATGAGGCTTTCCCAAGGCATGGTGGAATTTTACAACATCTTGTTCATGCATACAAAACACTGTTTGCAGGTCTCCCTTGAAAAAGAGATCTATGATCTCAAGGGACCGATCTGATTTAAGTAACGGTTTGAAATGAAACTGTAAATGTCCAGGCCGCCTTTCTCTAACGGGACTCTTCTCCTGCAGATCCATCCTACGAGCGCTTCTACCAAGCAGAGGATTATCCAGTGGTGAAATATCTGCAGCAGCCTCTGTATTTTGAGGTGGAGCTGATGCATTCTACCGACCCGCACTTGGAACTCATTGCTGAGAACTGTTGGGCAACCCTTTATGAAGATGGGACATCTCTGCCAAGCTGGGACATCATTGTGGACAGGTAATGTAGTGCAAAACTAACTACTAAGTACTCATTTCATTTGTTTAACTGCTGCTTTATTAACTTTCGAATTCCTTCACTAGCTGTGAGAATCGCAATGACAGCTATGCAACAATTTTCCATCCCGTTGTGAGTGACTCCAGAGTTTTAGTCCCGTCCCACATCAAGCGCTTCTCTGTAAAGATGTTCACTTTCAC